CCGTAGGACTCTCTGCTGTCATTGCAGAGACTACTTCGGATCCTCTCTCCCCATTGCTCTCTGCCCCTCCCCTGCTCGCACTCTCTATTCTGCTCTCAAAAATAAAAAATAAAATATTAAAAAAAAAAATTCACCCATCGTATTCTTACAGGACTGGGTGTCCTCATTCTGGGCACTTGGAGCCTGGAGGAACCCCAGGGGCACCGTGGGGCGGGGGAGCTTAAGTAAGGACACCCTGCTGGAGAGACCAGCCCTCACAGGGGGATGCAGCTGCCAGCAAAGGGGTGGGGACCTTCCCAGTGGGCACACTGAGGTAAGGGCCTGGCCTCAGCATCTCTCAGAACACGCCCCTGACCTGTTCATCCTCACTTGCAGGTCTGGTTCCAGAACCGCAGAGCCAAGTGGAGGAAACGGGAGAAGTGCTGGGGCCGGAGCAGCGTCATGGCGGAGTACGGGCTCTATGGGGCCATGGTGCGGCACTCCATCCCCCTGCCAGAGTCTATCCTCAAGTCTGCCAAGGATGGCATCATGGACTCCTGTGCCCCGTGGCTGCTGGGTAAGAGCCCGCACCCTCCTTGGGGCCCTGCCCCTGTGGTGAGGAGAGCGGGCTCCCTGGAGGAGGGGACAGAACCCAGGAGCAGGGAGACCTGGCCACAACAGCCTAGCAGGACACAGGCACTCCAAAACAGTCCTCCTCGTCATCCTTAGGAGGCTCAGAGGGCAGGTTGGGCCCAGGGCTCGGTGTCTATCCCTTGTGCCCCCCTGTTGGGTGGCTAGGACTCTCATCCCTGCCAGGCCCCGGAACTTGGGTTCTTTTGTCTTCTGATAAGGGTGTGGCTGTCGCCCCAGGGTCTGTACCTTCCTCCCCCCTTGGCCAAAGGTGGGCTTGTGGTGAGTGAAACCGCCCCTCTTGAGGGTTCAGGGGACCCCTAGGTCCCTGTGGCCACCATTCTGGTTTTTCCCAAAGGACTTCTTCCCCCTTAAATCTCTCCTGCCATCTTCCCCCACCTGCCCTCAAGGCATATGTCTGGTAAGCAGCACCAGCCTATCGTGGGGTTCTAAGATCTGGAATCCTGGGAGGGAGAGATGGGGGTGGGGGGCAAGTGCTATGCTTAGGAAGGGACAGAATAGGCTGCCCAGTGCCCAGGTGCCGGGGAACCTGACTTGAAGAAGCCCTCTGCAGGCCTGGTGCCCGGCTGCTGGTCTGTAGCCCCATCCCCTGGCCTCCCTCCCGCTGCCCCAGCCCCAGCCCCAGCCCCTGGGACTCGCGTGACTGCGGTGTGTGAAGTAAGGCTTTCTGCTCGTCCTTAATTCTGGCCTCTCTCTATCTTTGCTGTTTTCAGTTCAAGATGGCTTTCCCAGGCGCTTTTCTAAACCCGAATACCAACAATTCTTTTTAGGGATGCACAAAAAGTCGCTGGAGGCCGCAGCGGAGTCGGGGAGGAAGCCCGAGGTGGAGCGCCAGGCCCTGCCCAAACTCGACAAGATGGAGCCGGAGGAGCGGGGCCCCGACCCTCCAGTGGCCATGTCCCAGGAGGAACTGAGGGAGAACAGCATTGCGGCGCTCCGAGCCAGAGCTCAGGAGCACAGCACCAAAGTGCTGGGGACTGTGTCTGGGCCCGACAGCCTGGCCCGGAATACCGAGGAGCCAGAGGAGGAGGACGCCATGGAAGAAGACAGGCCAGCAGAGAAGCTGAGTCCACCACAGCTTGAGGACATGGCTTAGGTCAAGGGCACGCAGCTACCGGAGCCCCAGGACTCTGCTCTCTTCGGGGCCTGTGGTGTCGGGAGGTGTTCTCTGAGGCAGGGCCCGGGCCTGGCCTCTGCCCCCCCCCCCCGGCCCCACAGGCCCTCCATGACCCCCGGGGTGACTTCAGGCACAACTCAGTTCTGGCCGAGGCTTTGGGCCACGCGGAGACACCCCCTATCTGGTCTTGACCTCTCCAGCATCCTCCCCTTCACCCCAACAGCCCTGCCTCAGAAGCTTTCTTGCTGTCCCAAACCACCCCTTCAAGCCGCTTTCACTCAATCCCTTGGCGACTCTCCCTGCCCAAATCCACCCCTTACTCTCTGTTCTCTCCCGTGAAAGAGCCTCCCCTTCCCAGCTCTACACCCGCTACGGATCCTGCTCTGGCCGGGCCCAAAGCCCACTGCTGCAGACTCATTGCCTGCCACAGCGGTGACAGGGATTGAGGACCCGCACTCTGGCACCAACGTCCTGAGCCCCCCAGTCTTCAGTAAAACTGTGCTCGCCAGCCTATTCCCTCCTGAGGGCCCGGGCCTGGGCCTCTGCGGTGTGGATGTGCTGCCCCGCAGGTCCAGCTACAACCTCTGCCCACGGTCCAGGTTAAACTTGGAAGGTCTCAGCCTGAGCCCCTCGGCCACCCTCTGTCTCATGCCCTCCACGGTCACCCTTAGGAACCTGCCGGCCCTCTCCACACCCAGCCCGCCCCACCGTTCCCCCCAGCATGGGTCCCAGCACCACACGGGGCCATGTACAATATCTGTAGAGGCCTGGGCCCTGCAGCCAGGGGGTACACGTCACAAATGCTGTGGTCATGGCACTGTTGGGGAGGCCGAACTCTTACCTGGAGCCCTGGGGCCTGCGTTCTGAAGCATCCTGACCCCCCTGGTGTGATGCCTGTGACCCTGACTTGCCATGCAAGACACCCTTCTAGAGCTTCTTGCAATTTATCGGTTCGCATGTGACTTGCCTTGGAGCACCCCAATCCAGCTGTAAAATGAACCCATAAGAAGCTACAGATCTCGACTCCACTTGATCCAGACCATCCTCGGGAGGCCAAGCTTGGAGGGGGCCTGGGGCTATTATAGGCATCAAGGAGTGGTCACCAGAAGAGTGAGAAAGAGAAAGGGCTCAAAGGAGAGCAAAGCAGGAGCCGGTGTTCAACTCAAACCATGCCCGGTGTATGCGTGTTGTCTGCCCGCTAGAATAGGAGGGACATAGTGACCGTGTAGGAATAGGTGACAGGGTGCTTCTTCCTGTCTGCGGATGAGAGGAACTGTCCGTACGGGTGGCCTCCCTGCAGCTGCCCCTGGGCCAGATGCAGGTCTCCCTCACCCCCCTGACATTTCCCTCTGCCATGCCACCCACCCTTGCAGGGAATACCTCGCAAGAGGAAGGTCTGAGACAGTGAGTTGGGGTTTTAATTCCGTATCAACAGTTGATTTCTTCCTCATCCCGTTCATGGAACTCCCCCCTCTTCTTCTTCTTGTCTTTGTCCCCAGTTGGTTTGAAGTGTTAGACTGTAGCCCCTGCTGTGTAAATACTGTACATAGAGTGGGAAGAAAGAAACTTGATATTGAGGTGTTCGAAATATGGAACTGTAATAACTTCTAGCTCTTCCAAACCTGTGATTTCTGTGCCATTTTCTGTAAAGACACAAGTAAGAATAAAATTGATGTAAAAACGTCAGGGGAGGAGGGATCCAGGAATCCTCCGTGGGTGAGGATGGTGTATGTATGGGTAGCATAAAAAGTAAATCCATGAAGGCATTTTTAAATCCAAATTACCAGATTCCTCTTTTGAAAGTACTCCAGCCGCACTGACACCGTGGCCTGCCTTTCTCCACTGAGCGGACGCCACCTTCCAGGGGCACTTGTCACCGTGATTTGGGACCCTCCTCCACTGCAGACACACCTGAAATATCCCAATCCTGCCTTGCCCCCCGCCCCCACCAGAGTACCGACTCCCTCCTTTTGTGTACAGGTGTGCACTCTTAAGATCTTGCCTACAACCCAAACACAGCGGCAACATGTGGGAAAGGCAGCGGTCTCTGGAAGTAAAAGTCAAACAAACCTGAGCTAAATCCTGTTAAAGAGACAGGAAGTAAACATGGGAAAGGACTGCATGAAATTGTCCACAGACAGCTGCTACCCGGTGGCTCCACGATGTGCTGGCTGGAATTGCAAGCTGCGAGAGAGGAGGGAGCTGGCCGGATAGCTTCTCTTTGAGCTTTCGGCTTCAGAAATCTCATAAGACTGTTTCAGATTGCCTCAGATGTGGAACTCCCTCCCAGAAGAGATCTTCCTGGAGGCCATCGTCAAAGGAGAATGACAGGGAGCCAGTAGTCCCCGCACCCTGTCTTGGGAGTGGGTATAATCCTCCCGGACCCCGATCCTTGAGGGCACATGTGGGAAATCTCCAACTGCGATGTGGTGAAGGGAAAGATCCAAGAGCCTGGCTTCAAGTCCTGCCCGCACAGGCTCCCCTGGGCCTTTTCTGAGAAAGTCAGGTCCCTGTAGGGCCCACTATGGCCCCTTGGCCTAGGAATGCCCTTCCTCCACCCTGCCCACCCCCACCACTCCAGGAGAGGCACTGCCACTTACCCTACAAGCCCCCTCCTCCCCAGAGCCTTCCTGATCCTCCAGGGAGAGTTTACAGGAGAGTTCTTTCCTAGCACTTGAACACGCCTAGACATCCCTCCATTACGGTACCGTGTGTAATTTCGTGTAATCTTTTGTTTTCAAGTCTATCTTCCTCACAAGACTGATTTCTTCAAGGGTGGGGATTATATCCTGTTCATCTTTTAACCCCAGGAACCATCAAAGGGCCTGACAATCTATCGTTGAATGCACGGATGAATGTTCTCCCTCTAACTCATCCATTTATTCAATCATTTAAAAACATTTATTGAGAATCTCCTGAGTACCAGGCAGTGGGGCAAGGCAGTAGGGATATGGTGGCGGCCGGAGCCGTCTTATTTGGAGGGAAAGAGAGAATTCAAGGAATCACAGTAATAAGTCAAACACAGAATTGCCAATGTTCTAAGGCCTTGGAGGCGTGAGATAGGGGGCCATGAAAGCCTATCTGTGGGACTTGAGTCAAGGTGTTGACCTCTGTGCCTCTCTCCTGGGACTGATAACGTCTGTCCTTCCAGTGTCATAGTGTTGTGAGGAAGCAGCAAGGAAACTGGCAAAGGTGCCACACGAGCACAGGGGAAGCGGGGGAGGGAGGGCGCACACCCACATAGTCTTCTTAAGCCCAGGGGTCCACCTTGGCAGCTGCCCCCCGCCCCCACTCGGTTAGATCCGGGGGACAACTGGGATGCTCAGAGATGTGGGAGATGACAACCGCCCCAGGGGTTTGCCTTGAGAAGAGGCATGCTGCTTTCTGCAGAGGGACCCATAGACAAACCCACAGGCGATCAGTGAAGGGAGAGGTGGGGACACTGCGGAGAGAAAGCAAGGACCAGGAAAGGAAGGGCTTGGACAGCCAGGGGCTGAACGAAGAAGGGAAATCCTGCTCAGTGCCGACTGCGATCCTGGGAGGGACTTTTCCCCAAGGATCCTGCAACCCAGCACCTGGAAGAAAGACTTTTTTGCAGGCTTCCCAGGCCCAACAGGCTACCCACAGAGGGCTGCATGTGCCAGGAAGAGCCTGGCAGGGATAGATGAGGAGTCTGGCTGGTGGCAGGAGGTCGGATGGACCTCTGGGGCCTGGTCCATTCAGCTTCCTCTGTCTCCTGAACCCCCAGATCACCAGGGGCCTTGGAGTCTTCCTTCTGCTCCCACCAGAGCTGCAGGGCCCTCTCCTCCCCGACTGTCCTGGGGACCTGGGGGCATGGCACCTAGGTCATCAGCTGTAGCAAAGGTACACGTACAAATGGCAGATGTGAATCATCGGGGAAACTGGCGACGGGTTTACGGGAACTCTCTGTGCTATCGTCACCATTTTTCTATAAATCTAAAATTATTGCAAAAAAAATTAAGTTTATTAACAAACAAAGAAACAAACAAACAAAACAAAAACTATGGGGCACCGGGGTGGCTCAGTCGGTTGAACATCCAACTCTTGATTTCGGTTCAGGTCATGATCTCACAGTCGTGAGATCGAGCCTGGAGTCCAGCTCTGTGCTGACAGCACAGAGCCTGCTTGGGATTCTCTCTCTCTCCCTCTCTCTCTCTGCCCCTCGCTTGTGCTTGCACTCTTTCACTCTGTCTCTCAAAGTAAATAAATGAACATGAAAACCAAAATTTTTTTTTTAATTTTTTTTTTCTTTTTAATTTTTTTTTCAACGTTTATTTATTTTTGGGACAGAGAGAGACAGAGCATGAACGCGGGAGGGGCAGAGAGAGAGGGAGACACAGAATCGGAAACAGGCTCCAGGCTCTGAGCCATCAGCCCGGAGCCTGACGCGGGGCTCGAACTCACGGACCGTGAGATCGTGACCTGGCTGAAGTCGGACACTTAACCGACTGCGCCACCCAGGTGCCCCCCCAAATTTTTTAAAGACCAACTAGCTTGTTTTCTAGAGGGAAAACAACAGATGGCTCCTTTGGGTTAGAACAGGTACAGGGGTGCCCCTTTCCCTCTCTCTGCCCCAGGGTTCTGCTTGCCGAGTTGTCCCCGTCCCTGATCTCCCCGAGATCACTCAGACACCCAAGACCCACCCTCTGGGGAGCTGAAACTGAGTCAAGAGCCACTAGCCCCAAATCGTCCTGTCTCCTGTTGCTTCCTCAACTCAGGCAGCAATGACATCTCTGGGTTGTCACAGCTGAGCGGGCCCAGCAGTGATCTGCTCACTTCTCACTCAGATCAATCCCTTCCAAGGCTGACTCTTCTCAGTGGGCCTCAGCCTCCTCCTCCCTGGCCTACGCCCAGCCTCTGAGGCACGGCCCCCTCCGCTTTACCTGCAAGGCTCCGCTCCCAATTTGGATCTCAGGGAGTTTGACCCGGGAAGGGGACGGGAGTGATGAGGTGGCCCCCTGTTGAGCTGCAGAATGGCACAAGGTGTCCTGTGTGCCCACACAGGTTGGTATTCACCTCGCAGCCTCGCTTGGTGCTCAGGAGGCCAGAGAAAAAAAGAGTTGACCAGGGTGAACTCAGATGGGAGAGGCAAGAAGAGGAGAAGTTCACCTATTTCCTCCTCACAGCTTCCATGAAGCAGAACCAGAGTGGCGCTTACCTGCCCGGGAGTAGAAACAAAGGGTTAAAAGCCAAATCTGGGCTCCGCCAACAGAACTTCGCCGGTGAGATGACGACCCAGGAATCTGATCGATGCTCACGTTTATGAACAAGATGTTAAGACAAGTGCTGAGCTGAACGGCAATAGGTACAGGAGAATGTTCGAGGACAAGCACGCCCTCTGACAAGAGCGCCACTTTCTCCTCCTCACACGCTTCTGTCTTCCGTGATGTCCTGTGAGCCGTCCAGCTGAGGATTCCAGGAGCAAGAGCCCAGGAAGAGAGGAGCAGAGTAACACAAAAGGCAGGAAGTGACTCTTGCTGGAGCCGGGCGGACAGCCCTCCTCCTCTCCGGGATCACTCCTGTCTGTCTGCCAGGCCCACCGCCCAGGGAGACAGCCCCTGGAGCAGAGTGCCAGCTAAAGACAGGAAGAACACCAAGGTGGATCCAGGACACCCGAGTTGAAGTGCAGCCTCTGCTATTCTCTTAACTTCTTCAACACTAGCACGCGCGTCTACAAACCTGCAGTCAGATCAGGACCTCGCCGGGATGGTGTGAAGGGCCAAGGAGGTGGTGAGATTGTAACACAACCCAAGTTCCTCTGTCTGATGCGCAGCTGAGACCATCCCCCAGCCTGGAACGTGCAGCAAGCAAAGTATCCATTTCCAAGGCAGGCCCCTCCTCCAAAGGAGGAAAGTCGGGGAAATTTACAGGCAAATGAGAAAGGTCTGGGTAAAAAGTTGCAGTTGGGGGGGTAGTCCCATTTACCTGTTAGTTACTGGTTTCAAAATGGTGTGCACTAAACTCTTATTTCTTCTCTTATTGAGTTTCTATTTAAAAACATTTTTTCCCAGGGCACCTGGGTGCCTCAGTTGGTAAAGCGTCCGACTTCATCTCAGGTCATGACCTCGCAGTTTGTGAGTTCGAGCCCCACATTGGGCTCTGTGCTGACAGCTCAGAGCCTGGAGCCTGCTTCCGATTCTGTGTCGCCCTCTCTCTCTGCCCCTCCCCCACTCATGCTCTGTCTCTCTCTCAAAAATAAACGTTAAAAAAAATTTTCCCACCTGCTACCCTTTTTTGGGTGTGGGGGACTTTCACTAGCTTCTTGAGTTGAACACCTATTCATTTTTAACCTTCTTTATTAATAGACATTTGAAATCATACATTTCCAAGTTTTATTGTAGTTGCACCCCAAAAGACTGTAGAGCTTTCATTATTTTCAGTTTTACGTATTTACCAAATTGATTTTTTTTCACTTCTGGATATTTTAAATGTTTAAAAATTTTCCAAGCATATGGGATTTTTCTGGGGGAAGACATTATCCCTGTTATTGACTTCTAATTTTATTATATTGTGATCAGAGATCATTATTTTCATCCTCTGGATATTTTGGCATATGTTGAGACTAGGTTTAGGTTAATATGTGGCTAATTTTTGTAAATACTTCATGTGTGATTGAACAATGTTTTCTCCAACTTCGAAGTGCAGTGCTTGGTATAACTGTTAGGTGAGCTGTTCAAATATTATATATCGCGATTTGTTTTCTGTTTTGATTATGGAGAGAAAGGCATTAAAAACCTTCCATTCTGTGGCTTTGCCAATTTCTCCTTGCAATTCTGTTTGTTGCATTTGCTGACTCATGGTATTTTGCTTGTGCGTTCTGTAAGTTAATGTGACAGCTTTTCTCTCTTTTTCTGTGAGAATACTTGGATTGTTTAAGTGTTCTTTCCGTCTTTCCAGCCCTCACCTTGGGTCTGGTCTCCTGTCCCTGCATATTTAAAATGCAAGTTGCTCTCTCCTGTCACCTGCTGACCCCACACCCCCATCGCTGTTCTGGCTCTCACACCTGGGATTTCCCTTTCTGGCTTCCCACTTCATTCGTGCATCAGACTTGTTTTTTTTTGTTTTTTTTTTTCAACGTTTATTTATTTTTGGGACAGAGAGAGTCAGAGCATGAACAGGGGAGGGGCAGAGAGAGAGGGAGACACAGAATCGGAAACAGGCTCCAGGTTCCGAGCCATCAGCCCAGAGCCTGACGCAGGGCTCGAACTCACGGACCGCGAGATCATGACCTGGCTGAAGTCGGACGCTTAACCGACTGCGCCACCCAGGCGCCCCAGACTTGTTTTTGATGGATATAGTCATGTCTAGGTGTTCCTAATCAGACATTTCCCCACCAGTCTAGTCCACCATTTTCCTTCGTAAACTGTCAAGGGAAGTACAATGTGAATAATGTGGTTACCTCTGAAGCCTGTGGCTTTTGTGCATATCCTTCCCCACTGCTGGTGGTCACTGCTCCACCCAGGTCTCCGGTGGGATACTTTCCCCAATCCCAACACTGAGCTACCTGCTTGGGTTTGTTTCACTCAGTTCTTGTCAGCCTCCGCCTACCACTGACATCTTTCTCTCCATCTCTGTCTTTATTCAGAAACGTCAAGTAAGCATTGGAGGAGCAAGTGATATGTGGTGTTCGCTTAGGCAGAGCAACCATGAGACCATGAAATGTATTTTCTTCCAGGCTTCAGTTCTGACTGTTTGCAGTTATGGTGGAAACATGCTTATTCTCCTAAGGGTACACAGGCCGTATATCTGGTATGATAGGTAGTTGGGTAGCAGTGAGGGAGGACTTCCTCTTTTAGTAGTTGTTTTTCACTGAATTTTGAAATGCTAATTGTGATTCTTAAATTTTATTTATTTAAGGGGCACCTGGGTGGCTCAGTCAGTTAAGCGTCCGACTTCGCCTCAGGTCATGATCTCACAGTTTGTGAGTTCGAGCCCCGCATCGGGCTCTGTGCTGACAGTTCAGAGCCTGGAGCCTTCTTTGGATTCTGTCTCATTCTCTCTCTGCCCCTCCCCCACTTGTGCTCTGTCTCTCAAAAATAAATAAAAATGTAAAAAAATTAAAAATAAAAAAATTATTTACTTAAAATATTTTTTCATTTTTGTTAACATTTTTTTTCATGTGTATTTATTTTTGAGAAAGAGAGACAGAGAGACAGAGTGGGAGCAGGAGAGGGGCAGTGGGAGAGGAAGACACAGAATCTGAAGCAGGCTCCAGGCTCTGAGCTGTCAGCACAGAGCCTGACACGGGGTTCAAACCCATGAACCGGGAGATCATGACCTGAATGGAAGTTGGCCACCAAACTGGGTGACAGCCACCCAGGCACCCCAGATTTCTAAATTTTAAAATGGACAGTTTACGGGGCACCTGGGTGGCGCAGTCGGTTAAGCGTCCGACTTCAGCCAGGTCACGATCTCGCGGTCCGTGAGTTCGAGCCCCGCGTCAGGTTCGCATCAGGCTCTGGGCTGATGGCTCAGAGCCTGGAGCCTGTTTCTGATTCTGTGTCCCCCTCTCTCTCTGCCCCTCCCCCGTTCATGCTCTGTCTCTCTCTGTCCCAGAAATAAATAAACGTTGGAAAAAAAAATTTTTTTTAAAAATAAAAAATAAAAAAATAAAATGGACAGTTTACTACACTGCCTTATTAGTCTTTTTTTAAAGTTTATTTATTCATTTTGAGAGCGAGTTAGGGAGGGGCAGAGAGAGAGGGAGAGAGAGAATCCCAGTCAGGCTCCATACTGGCAGAGCAGAGCCCCATGCGGGGCTTGAACTCGCGAACCATGAGATCGTGACCTGAGCCAAAGTCAGACACTTAACCGACTGACCCACCCAGGTGCCCCTTATTCTCTATATACATATTTTTGCAATTTTTTCCTAAACCATTCGAGAGCAAATCGAGGATGTGATGCACCATTATGTTTCCTTAAAGTGAAGATACCCTCCCACCTAACCACTACACAACCAATAAAATCAAGAAATTGACAATGACTCAATA